TGTTTATTTTCAGGTGATGACGCGAACTGCTAGGCTAGTGGCCCAGTGGCAGTGTGTTGGCTTTTGCCATGGTGTCCTTAACACAGACAACATGAGCATCCTGGGTCTTACCCTGGACTATGGTCCCTTTGGCTTCATGGAGAGGTATGCAGCGGGAAGTAGAAGCCTTACAGTCTAACTATGCAGTGTTTGGAGACATAGTAACTGAAAATTACATTCTGTGCTTGTATTATATGATACATGATGACTTTTCTGTGTGTCAGATTTGATCCAGACTTTGTCAGCAATGCCTCAGACAAAAAGAGGCGCTACTCGTACCAATCACAGCCATCTGTGTGCCGCTGGAACCTGGCTCGCCTAGCTGAGGCGTTGGGCTCTGAGCTTGATCCAGCAGAGGCAGGAGCCGTCCTGGATGAATTCATGCCCACGTATAAGGCGTTCTACCTATCTATCATGAGGAAAAAGCTGGGCCTTGTAAGAATAGAAGAGGTAGAGGACCGAGAGCTTGTATCAGATCTGTTGCGTGTCATGCACAACACAGGTAAAAAAAAAAAAAAAAGATTCTTGGAAGCCTAATCATTAAACCACCTATATGTCCTCTCCCTCTGTCACCATTGTGCTTTGGTATTATGCCTTCCAGGTGCCGATTTCACAAACACCTTCCGCTTGCTGAGTTGTGTCCCCTGGCCTGAAGAGGGCGATAGTGAGAGAGCCACTGTGGGCTCAGTGGTGGACCTCATCCTAGAGCAGTGTGCCTCTATTGAGGAGCTAAAGGTGGCTAATAAGCCAACAATGGAAGATCGGTGAGGGGGTGTATGGTGGCTGATGTTCTTTTCATAGAACAACCAGAACATGTATACAAGATCTGCCAATTGCCCACCATATACTCCCAATGTTACTCGAATCCTTGCTTGCCACTGTAGTTTCAAATCGTTACATCTGTTTTTCTTTTTATATGCTAGCAATTTGGGAGCCAATCTTACCAGGATAATCTGTAAGTTAAATTTAAGCTTTCTGGTATTTTAAATGGGTATATTGTGGAAGACTCTAATATGTATATATGGAAAAACCAAGAAGCACTAGAGGTGGACTTAACCCTGGAGAACCCATGGGGTCAGAGCCGACCCCATTGGTTTTCTAGGGAAACCATGGGGTCAAAATTGACCCCATGGGTTCTCCAGGGTTAAAATGAACTTTAAACATAACCATGTCTCTTTTTAGTGAACTGGCAATGATCCTGTCTCTGGCACAAACCAATCCACTCATGTTTGGGATGGTGGCAGACAGCCCAGGTATGACCGAACAGCTTGAATTATTGGGCCGACTCAAGGAGCTCGTCGAGACCAACCAAGATGACCTTAAAAGGAAGCAACGTGATGACTGGATCCACTGGATTGGCCAATACAGGTATGAAAAGAAAGCCAGAATTTTTTTTTTATGGCTTCTACAAAAGCGGCTGGTGCAGCACATTAATTGAAAAGCTTATTTGGTCCCTAGATCCCGCAATCTGCAAGAGCACTGAGGGTACTTGTGATTGATTGTGTTGCACTCTGATTTGTTGGAATAGCATAGCTGACGAATGTTTGCCAGAAAAACTGAAAAGAAGATGCAAAACAAAAGAATAATTGTTGTACTCTACATCAGCGGTCTCTAACCTTTTTTGCACCATGGACCGGTTTATGTTCGACAATATTTTCACGGACCGGCCTTTAAGGTGTAG